TTTTACCTCACTGCGTACTGAAAATCACAAAACTTGCTTCGCTGTTGTCTGTTATCTATTGTCTTTTGCAGAGTGTAACAGCATTTAATTAGCATTGTTTTGCGCATTTTCAGCTGGCCGTATTGGATGGTGATGGAATTCGGATGCTGGCCTCTGTTCTGCAAACCACACATGATCCTGGAGTCAAGGAAGAAGCCACTGCTGCTCTATGGAATCTATCCAGCGCTGATATGCTCAAACCAGTTATACTGGAAGCAGCCACCGAAGCACTGGTTCAGCAGGTTTGATAACTTGCCTTATACCATGAATTCTTTTTTCTAGCAAAAAAAAAAACCTTTGCTTTCATAAATTTAAGAGTTCTTTAATTTCTGGTAACGAGATGAAAGCGATTTTATTTCATATGAACTATCCAATCTATCGACCTTTCGACCAATCTGTCTACAATCACTCGGTTTCAGTGCATTCTTTGCTATACCCTGCAATTGTCAACGAGAATCTTGCTTACCCGCATTCTCTGTCAACCATTATCCCTTAAATTCTTGGTTGACCGTCCGCCAGGAGATTGCTAGTCCTGATCTTGAATATTTTTTCTTCTCGGTGCCACTACTAACCAATGTTGAATTTTTTCGCTTTCAATAGAATCTTTTTTATATCATGATAAGTCGAACTACCGTGTTATGTCTCTTTTACTTCATTTAGGAAAATGTTTATACCTTGAAAATCACTTTACAAGTCTCCGTCTTTGTTGTTTTTGTCATAACCTGCTTTCTTACGTAGTTTTCAGGCCTGTCCACCCTCGAATGGTTACCAGCATAATGGCATTATGAATGATAGCGATCCGTCGCGACATTACAGCTCTGCTATTTTCAAAAACTCTACGGGGGTTCTAAGGTAAATCACAGTCAAAATTGACCTTGGGACTCGATCATCACGCTTTTTAGGAATGTTAGTGCGGCAAATGCCAGTGCCCGCAAGCGGCTTCGTGCCTGTCCAAACCTTATCGAAAGTTTGGTGCAGTTTTTGACTATAGCTATCCAACGAAACCAAGTGGATTCGCAGTCAGTGGAGAATGTTGTGTGTCTACTTCGAAATCTGAGCTACAGGTTTGTATTTCAAAAATGTCTCGCACGGTTTCGATCTTCTTGATTTTGAGTATAGTTTGTGTAACAATCTTCAAATTTTTTATGACTCATTAATATTAATCAGTGCGACATTTGCAAATAGCCTTTGCTTTAGGATTCAAGAAGTGGAAGACCCAAACTACGATCCTGCTACCGCACATGTGCTATACACTAAAGGAGGCAATAAGTCGGCTCCCAATAGCCCCAAGCCCAAGAAGGAGAAAGAGAAGAAGAAGATAGAAGTTGCACGAGAAGCTGTCACTGTCAGTTTTAGTCTTTTTTACGTTCTGCGAAGCGGAATTTTTTGATTTCTTATAACCTAAAATTAATTTATTAAAACAGCACACGTCCATTCTAATCAAACTTATAACCCGGTCTTGCTTTGCGGCATAGAACCATCGTATTACTGGCGCAAGCAGGCCCAACGAGCATGT